CCATTTTTTTAGACAGTAATTGAAGCATCTATTTTTTTTTTCAGAAGTTTGTTTTAATTGCAGCCACTGAAACCAACATAGAAGTTATTGCTCAGATAAATAAACCTAGTCTACAAGAAAAAAAAAAAAAAAAAAGTAGATAAAGCAACAAACAAAAATCCCAAAACTGAAAAACTTAAAATTCCCCAATGTGGTAACAGAGTAAACAAGAGAAAGATTCCTCAGTTGAGGATTTACTGGAACTTCTGGTGCCAGTTCTGAGCACCGAAACTGAGTTGGACTCCTATGCAGTAAATCCCAGACGGAGGTACAATTTTAATGCTGTACATGAAAAGGTGCAAGCTTCAATGCCTTCCAAATTGTTGGAAACCTCTGCAAAAAAAATCAGCATTTAAACCTCAACAACCACAAATAGCTCTTAAGGAAAAACATACAAAAAGTGTCAAAATTTTTTTTTCATCGTTTTTTCTTTTCTTCAAAGAGTTCTGGAAAAATGATCCCATAAGGAATAGAAACAGCACCGTGCACAGGCTGGCTTGATACCAGTCCTGTAGCTTTGCTGAGATTTGAGGAAATCATCTTGGTTGGAGTCCTGAATTACACTAAGTGGGGTGTTTGTTTTGTACTTTCTGCTTGGTGCGTCCTTCCCACTGCAGCGCACGCAGATGTAGTCTTCTTTCTCTGCCATCTCTGGAGAAACACCAACACAGACCTGATGAAACCACTGACTGCAGCTGCCATCACACTAGACCCAGGCCACCTCATCTCCTGGCTGCAGGTAGCTCACAGCTGGGCACGCGGCATCTTCGTCCCCTGAGTCCTGCTTGGAGTAGGACGTGTCTGAGGGCAGGGAATGGGTCTCGGCAGAGCGGACTAACTCATAGCTACGCTCCCTCTCTAACTTGAAACTGTTCATGTCCTTGGGGTGGCTCAGGCTTATTTTCTTCTTTTTGAGGGTCCGCATTTTCTTGACTCGATCCCTCCGCTCACTGGAGAGGCCTTCTCTGTCCGGGCGTCTCTTCAGTTTCCTCTCAAGACTGTTGACTCCATCACGCTTTCCCCAGCAACAAAACACCTAATTTTAATATTGAATTAATTCCTTTCATATGGTTTGTGCAGTGTTTTAAAAACTTTTTCTCACCCCAGTGTTATAATCTCCTTTGCCAGTGCATCTTCAATTTTATTATCCATATAATTATCTGAAGACATTTAGCCTGCAGGTGTTGATATTGCTGTTCAGACTTTACTTTCATCTACTTTGTTCTCATTTTTGTCTTTAATCTATCTGAAAATGGTTTACACATCAAATAACACATACATAAGAAGCCTGGTAATTTTAGAATTATTTACAGAGTAATCCAACTTTTGCCTACTAATCAATAATGCAGTATTTGTTATACATCATTTTCTAGTGTTTGGGAGCTACTTTTCATTTAGTTTTATACAACATTACTACAATTTTAGAGTTTTGCTATTTAAATCTCTATAGAACAAATCCCTTAACTCTTGCTTTTCTTTACCTTCTTAAAATTGTCTTCTGGATCTCTTTCAATTAATCTGTATAATATTAAATTCTAAGGAAAATGTTTAGGCTGGTTGGAATTAATTGCACTGAAATTACAAGTTATGTGAACTAAACATCTTTATCAACTCATCCACATATAAAGATGGTATGTCACTCCACTTACTTAGTTTTTACCTATAATGTTCTATAATGTTGCCAAACATCTTCTATTATATTTGTTGCTAGCTACTGTTTCTTTTATTTAAGGTTAATTTTCATCATGGTTCCTATATAGAAATAAAATTGATTTTTACACACTGATCTACTATCTAAAAAGATCTGCCAAAATTCCATTAAATCCAATCAGTGATGTATGGCTTATTTCTTCTGTTTTTTCTCTGAAAACTAGAAATTTTAAAAGAAAGATGCCATGCACGGTGACACACCTGGTAATTTCATCACTGTAGGAAGTCTAGTCATGAGGATCGCCAGTTTCAGCCCAGCTTGAGCAATTCAGGGACTAGCAAGAATGAGCTTCTCTCAAACAAAACAAGATGAAACACAAAACAAAACAGAATAACTCAGTACCACAGCCTGGAGTTCAATAATGGTACAACAAATGAATGAATGAATAAAGCGAAGAGGAGCCAATAACAGAAAACAGATTCCATAAAGGAACATAAAGACAGACTTTTCATCAAAACAATGCAGAGGACAGCAGATATTCATCTTTAAATTGATGAAACACTGAAGTCTATTCTTCTAAAACTGAATACTTAGCAAAAATATGCTTTGAAAGTGAAAGTGAAATATAGATTCACCACCAGTAAACTATCATTATAAGGCAAGTTAAAGGAGCCTCAACAGGTAAAGGAATACTGGAAGGAAATGGGAATCCGTAGGAGCAAGCGTTAGGTACTTTTCTAAAGATTGCACACGGACTCCTGACGGCAACACTGATGACAATGTTCTGCGGAGTCCGCCACCCATGTAGGAGTAAGTGCTGGACCAGGAAAAGCTGAGCAGAGCAAGCAAGCATAAGGTAAGTTTCTTAAATTAAACTGAAGCTTGTAACAAGTTACTGATGTGTCCTGAGAGAGGGCGCATGTACATGCATGTGTATCCACACAGGTGTATCTGCTAAGTCAATGAAAGTAATAAAAAGTTTTAAGAAATACTCAAACTGAGGCAAAATAATGCAGAAAAAAGGTAGTAAGAGGAGAGTTATGAAGAAAAGGAAAAAATAAAACAAAATGTGACAGGTTTAAATCCAAAATCAAACTGAATGTAAATGATCCAAACACTCCAAAGTTTTGGAGCTGGTAAAAGAACAAAATCAATACACTACTGTCGGGAAAACCATTTTAAATACACAGATACAGATATATTGACATGGCAAGTACTGTAACATCTTTCTAAAGAAAACTGGCACTGCTATTTTAGTATCAGTAGATTACAAGTGAGAATACTACGAGATAGAGGCTGAATTAATGAGTCCATTATCAGCAAAGACAGTCCTAAATGCTTTATGCTCATCGCAGGAGAGCTTGGTTCTAAATTTTAAAATGTGGAGTTAAATATTTTGCATTTAAGAAAAAATACTAAATTTCAAAAATTTTATTAGTGAGCCAGGAGTAGTGGCGAGTATGCCTACAGGCCAAGCAATTGGGAATCTATGGCAGGAAGGTCAGCTGAGCCTACAAGTTCAAGGCCAATCTGGGCAACGTAGTGAGACCCTGTCTCAAAACATTTTTAAAAAATTCATTAATGATTTAATGGACTTTAAACATATATATATATATATATATATATATAATAAACATATATAGATGCATAATTATATAATGTATAAATATATAAAATACATTATATAATTATGTAATATATTTGTAATGTAATAATACATCAATTGTATATACATATATAATATATATATTTCTATAGGTCCTTTTCCTACAAGTATTAGAACTATAAATCACAAAATTTACCATATTTTCCCCAATAAAAACAAATCTATGTTTTTAGTGTTGCTACTACTGTCAGTAATGTAGGTCCCTAGCTTTTGTTCTTTAAAATAGCTCAAGAAACCTGTCATTTTTACTTGAAATACTGAAGCTCAGGTGACACAGCAATTAAGTTTTAATTTTGTAGTTTCATACCACCTCCACCACTTCACCCTCTCTGTATCCTTCAGCTTCAAAGACAAACCTGGGGATTATTAAATGTAAAAACTAGAGCTATAATGTCATTTGAGCTCAAAACAGTGTTGTCTGTAAACCTGACAAGGTCCTTTTATGTTTTCACGTTTCCCCAAGTGCTAGTCAATTATATAAAGCTGTAATGAGTGTCATGGAACATAGCTCTAAAGTCTTTAAGTTTTATTTTGTAAGGAGTGTATTACATGTTAAAACACATTAAAGTGGGGGAGTACAAGTATCACAGAACTACTTCATCCAATAGTGTAACAGCTCCTAGCTTCGCTTCTGCTGCATGCAGTGTTTTTGAGCCCTTCCTGAGCAGTTACCTGATGCATTCCCCAGTCTTCCTACATCAGCTCTGTTCATGGACCCAGATCTACTCAGGGCACGGGGCGGACGTGGCAGCACCAGCTGGGGTGCTCTGCTGGCGACAGCTTTTTATCCAGCTTACAGAAGAGTTAAGGGGACACAATTAGTGACAATTCCAATTAAGTGAGGGTTAATTATGGAGCTGCAGACAGCTCCAGGTCCACCTCAGCTTACTTTCTCAAGAATCTCAAGTTAAGCAAAAGGACCTAGTTTATTGTTAGAAATTACCAAATTTCCTAAGAGAGGAAACTTTTTCTACGGTTTCTAAAAAAAAAAGTAATAAATAATTTGGTAACTGCTTCAATGAAGTCAATTTGCTTTACTTTTCAAAGTATTATATTGTTAAAACAGTATAGAGAAATTCCTTCTAAGTGTAAACATACTGTATTATTATGAACTGATTTTACTGCTTGTCTAAATTGGAAAAGCTGGGAAAATGTTTCTTTGTAAAACTGGAAATGAGTTTTTTCAGTCAAAATAAGATACTGTTTTGAGAACCATTTTTAAAATAAAAGAATATTGGTGCATCAACCACAAGGTGGTGCTATAATTCCATACTGGTACTGATGTTTTACACATTAAAAGACGATAGTGCTTCTCTCTAGATGTTCATAAATGTACCTCTTAGAAAAGTACCCTGAGCCAGGGCGATGGCTGAGTAGAATAAGCGCTTGCCTGGCAAGAGCAGGGTCCTGAGTTCAATCCCTGGTACTGAAAAAAAAAAAAAAAAGAAAAGAAAGAAAAAGGAAAAAAAAAAAAGAAATGTACCTTAAAATAAATCTCAGAAAAGTAAATCTAATTGGATTCATTACATACATAATTAAAAGTTTATCAAATTCAAGGTCATATGCTTTACATTAATGTAAAAGTTCAGTTTTAAATTACTAAACATTTATCAGAACACTAACAACACTTTCTCAAGTCTTTATATCTTAAATATTTTATATTTGAAATACTAGAATATAGAAACAGATGAAATAAAATATAACCCAATGATCAATATAAGAAAGACAAGTGCTTTCTCCTCACAGTAATAATCAATTCTCTTGATTCCCCATGATTGTATTTTTATTTACAAAGTGAGAAAAAGATGTTTATATAAAAAATTTTATGTGAATTTGTCTCTTTATTTACTTTCTTCTAAGGCTTTTTCGCTCCAGAACTCTTCACCATTTGCTGTCACTAAAACAGAAAGGAAAGCCTCACTGCGCATCCTCTAGCACCGGCTGCCACCAGCTGTGTCGGCGCTCCTGCTCTTAAAAGCCCGAGAGCACGAAGTGACTCCATCTGCGTGTCAGTGAGCGGCGGGCCCGTTTCACTGCAAAAGGAGAATTTCATCCTTACTTTCTCAATGTTAATATTACCACTTTTTGAGCATGAAATAGCTGTGTTTTTGTTTTATTTGTCAATGAGCACTTCTGACTTTTCACTGCAACGTACTCGTCAGCACAGATGGCAAGACCATGCGCCTGAGCCCCTGGGGTACGATCTGAGGCCCCAGCTGGAACGCTTCCAACAGGATGTAAACTATGATCCCCAAGCCTGTACTTTAAAAAACATATTACTTAGCACAGTGCCAACAAATGTCAACACAAAAATACAGTGCTTGCTGTAATGACTTCATTCTGTAAAAGCAATGGACTAGAACGTAAGTTTTTCCTAAGAAAAATGAGAGTAAACCAGTATAAGAATAGCTCAAAAATACTAAAGTATTTATTCAATAATGAATAGAAAAGCTCACATACCAAATGGATACAAATTCTTAATAAAAATATTACAGTACATTAAAATTATATAGAAAGTTCTTAAAATATACAACATGTACAGTAGCCAAAGTTCTACAGAAGCTCATGCAGAAAATTCTATAATTAGTAACTTGGGCATTTTAATAACTCTGCAGTTTCTTCAAACCTGCAATAGAATAAACAAATGATGTGTAAGTAAAATAAATAATAATGAAGAACAGGATATAAGTTGCTAAACTTATGCTTTTGCATCTAAAGTAAGTCTGAGTTTTTCATATTGTTAGCTATAGGTACTAAAGTACTGATAAATTTTATACTAGGGCCAAAGGAGAAAAAAACTAAATTCTTGGTGCTTAAATTATTTTAACACTGTTTTCAGAAAAATGTAGTTTCGAAAGTTATTTGGTTACATAATATTGTTTTTAAAAAAATTTACACAATATTCTAAGTTCATTTTATATTTTTTTGAACTAGTCTTTATAAATCAGATGTAATGTCATTTACTAAACATAAATTACTAAACATTTATCAGAACACTAAAAACACTTTCTCAAGTCTTTATATCTTAAATATTTTATATTTGAAATACTGTAATACAGACATTTACTATGCAATGACATTTTAGTATTACTTTATAATACCTTATTAGTGATACTTTAAAAATGTCTCCAAACTGCTCTTCTCCATATGTTTATCATTCTGCTTAATCAGTTATCAAAAAAAGATAACACTTCATTAACTACTAACCAAAACTACCTTTGCATTCTTTAATCCAGTTAATTCTATTAACACTGTCATACATCGCTTGTTGGAAACCAAAACAATGACTCATCTCACAAACACATAACTGTATGTGGATTTATGATCCACTGGAGTCTTCAAGGAAATTCCACACCTGACTGAGAGACCTTTAAGGCTTGAAACACATATGCACATTCTACATATACTGAAATCCAATACAATTCCTTAGAGAGAAATGAATTTCTGTTGCCCCTTTCTGTTACTTACATTTTTTTCATCCTTTCCATTTTCTGGATTGTTGTTTCCTTTAATTTAAAAAGCAACAAATTTAGGTGATTTCTTAAAGTAACTCATCCTCAAAAATGGACCATGAACATGTAAAACAGTCTGAAATATTTCATTAAGTGCTATTTGCTCATAATTTCTGAGATTAAGACTTACAGCTTTGCCATTATCATTGCTAATAATATATGACTAACATCAATGTTTTCTTAACCTCTGAAAGAAATCATCTAGGCAGGTGTCAGTTTTTCTTACCTCTGAGACATCGTTCAAACCACAGTAAGTAATAGTTGAGGCTCTGGGAGTTGAATTTGTCGACTCTGTACTATAGCCAGAGGACGGAGGGACATGTGCTAGACTCTCCTCTTTGACTTTTCCATCTGTGAAGGTGGAATTAAGTTTGAAGTTATCTTTTCCTTTCACTGTGGTGCCAAATATCTAAAAATTTTATTATAGATGGAAGAGGAATAAACATTTTAACCTAAAATAGCTACTGTTACAAATCAAAAAATGAATTTTTTGGTATTCTTTCGAGAGAGTAGCTGTCTGCATGTAGAGATGCATATGCTAAACAGTTGCTCATAGAAACTGCAAAAGGCAGCCAGGTTTGGTGGAGCCCGACTGTACTGCACTAACCAGGAGGCTGAAGCAGAGGAGAGGAGAGCTCCACCACACATCTGACAGGGTCTGCAGGCTTACTACTCAAGCTGGAGACACTGGAAACCCAGGTGTTTTGCCCGCTTTCCTCATCATCTACGTTCCTTGTAGAATGGCTGCTGCTTATTTATTAGCATGAATTTGCACAGAATTGCCAAACTAATCCAGGCTCCAGGTAAAGTGACTGACTTGTCCTCAATGTCCAAATTCTAAATTTTAAGGGAGAATGCAAGTTGGCTTTTGGAATTAATTATTTGCTGGTTTGGGGGCCTACTCATTACCCAAGTAGTCGAGCATAGGGGTCAAGATCACAGTTCTGCAGATGGGCTAGGTCCAGACTGTTTTGCAGGACGTATAGGCAATGGGTAATTTTAAGGAACAATCTGAAACTGAGAAGTAACTATTATCTGCTATGCCCTGAATCTTTTATGATTTTGTGAGAACAGACAAGTGTCCTCTGCAATTTAAGCAGAGAAGAGGAAGGGAGGAAGGAGTCAAAGCAGTCAAGACAGACAGAACAAATGGCCAAGGGATGGCTCTCCTGGGCCCATGTTGGGGCCTAGACTTTGAGCTATCTATCCTCATTCAGGGATGTGTCTCACGGTACAAGAAAGCCAGCATTATGTAAGCTGGCAGATTATTCAGAGAGACAGCCCCGTAGGGGGTTCAGGAGGGGTACAGTACAGAACACACAGAGCAGCAGCCACATGGTTAATACCCAGATCAGTTGAATGAGTTTGGTCTTATTTAAAAATCAAGGGTTTTTTAGCCATGTCACAGAGGTCATCAAAAGAACTGGTAAGCAACATCAGGTTAGAAAGAAAAGGGAAGACAAATCATTCCCGACACAGGCTTCAGGAGCAAGCTGTCTGAGAGCTTCAGTGGTGAATGCTAAGAGATTCCTGTGAAGAAAAGAAATCTAAGGTTTGGGATGTCAGATGTAGCCAGCTGTTCTTACATAAGTATTAATCTTTTACCACCAACATGGGTGATTATACCTTTTACCAATAATGGAACAGTTGAGTGTTTCACTGTTCAATAATTTGTAAGGCAGTATTACCAAGTCAGAGATCCCTGTGTATAGACAAAGATTTTTTTGATATTCGTTATTATTTCATAATTTACTAGATTCCAAACTGAATTCATTATTTTTCCCAAATCTCCTACTCCTGGATTCCTTAAGAGTAACAGCCACCCAAATACATAAGCCATACAAATAGCTAGTCCTGACTTTTCCATTCTTCCACCTCTCCTATCAGTAACCAAAGCCTTCCAATTTTGATATCCAAATATCTCCCCAGCATGATAGCCAGCGAGATAGCTCAGTAGCCTAAGTGCCTGCTTGGCAAATGCAAGGTCCTGAGTTTAATCCCCGGTACTACAAAAAAAGAAGAAGAAGAAGAAGAAAAAAAAAAAAAAAAACCCACAAATATCTCCCCACTAAATTACCTGCTTGCTATCATCATGACTGGTGCCTTAGTATCAACTCTCATCTGAGACTACGTGAGTGCTGATAACAACCTTTCTATGGCTTTGGGGTAAAGTCTATGATTCGGTCTTTCTACTCTTCCACTTCCTCCATGTGCCCGTTAATCTTGCTTCCAATCCCAATGGAACAAATCACATTCTTGTTTTTAGAGCCATGTTTTGGTTAATCATATATTCTTTTCTTCTGAAGAGAAACAGGAATAAAATGAAGTACACAGAACAAAACACAGCTCTGACAGTTGGTAGCCTGTCTGGCAATTAACCTGAGTTACTAGTTCCCTCATGAATATAAATAATGTCACAGCAAAAGCAATATTATATGAGGTTATAAAACAGAAAAATATAAAACGTGGCAGGTGTGAAGAGACAAAACAACCATGCTATGTAACCCCCAAAATGACCAGTTACGGCTCTCTCTCCACTAACTAGAGTGCTTGTTTTCCACTGAAAACTACACGTCCACTTCATTCTTGTCATCAGTCTTTAAACTGTCTAACAGCACCAAAATCAGCATATTGAAAATTCCTTTAAATCCTCTCCAAAATCACCCCACTGAGGTACAGTCCTGAAAATGCTCTCCTACCACACTCTTAAGTGAGACACTGAAGTGCCTTACTGAAGAACACTATTCTTTTGATAAAGGAAATCAAACCTGGAACCTCACTAAAATCATCCTCAATTGAACACAAGTCTAAGACTAGGGAGACAAATTACTGCAGTGTGCATTCAACTGAAATCAACCCTCTACCTACTACTACTCTCGTGAAAGTTAAGCTTGATTCATTTGTAGGAAAATAGTTGCACTGTGAGACTATACCATTAAGTGAACGAAAACAGACAAGCTTAAATATAGCATGGTTTCTCTTGTATGAGAAAACCAATATACAGAGTGCAAAATAAAGAGACAATAAGAAAAAAAAGAGGAAAAAAAACCAAAAAACAAAAAACTACTCCAACATGGCCCACGTAACTATAAGTGTACCTTCAGGTAGTAAAATTATCTGGTGCATTTCATATGTTTCCTGGCTATTAATCTGTGCTTTCTGGCTATTAATCTGTGCTTATCAGAATTAACCTGAAAAAGACTTACAAATCTGATTAAAGCAAGAAACAAAAAAGAAAAAATTTAATATGGGGGTGGCGAGGAAATGGAAAAAATTGAGATGTGTTATATACAAGTACCAATTCCCACAATAAATATCATCACTATATACTGTAGAAATGTACTAATAATTTTTTAAATTTAAATGTTTTGAAAAAAGAAAAAAGAAAAGAAATCCAACCTCCTGCTCCCAAGTAGCAGCATGTGTACAGCATAACGTGTAAGGCTTTACCAACTTGACCCTCTGATTTATCTGGGCTAGATGACCACCTGTGACATCAGCCACTCACCTTACTGACAACCTACAGTGCTCTATCTTACTACTCAGTACACTGGCTTGCACCTGGCCACGTGTATTATACACAGGAGAAGGTATACTATGTTCCACAGTAATTTTATTATTAAAGAAATAAGCTCACTGCAAAATTGAGCTTGATAAGCCAATGTTTCATAAATAGCAGATTCAATGTTCTTTCAATAACACTTAGGCTATAGTATATTAGAGACAGAAGTTATTTCCTATCTGCTAGACAGACTAATAATTTTGCTCTCAGGAAACTAGTTAGGGTTTAATATTTGTGGAAGAGATGCATAAATGATCAATGGAAAAAAGCCAAATATGGTATTGGTAGTCTGTAATAAGCTTAATACCTAAAGTAGCATCACCAATGATTGAATTTAATAGACAAATCACTTAAATTGCTCTGTGTATAATGATTTTGGCATGAGCACCAAGTATGTAGCTCTTAAGAAAAAATTTCAGAGTCAGCGGTCTCAGTTTAAAGCTATCCACCAATCAATAGCAATGTGACTTATGGCTCAGTTAATCTCACTGCACCTCACTTCCTCTACTCTAAAATACAGACAATAACAGGAATCACCCTGGTTATTTTGAGAATTAAATAAATTATCTAATAATCACAACAATGCCAGCATATACTACTACAATGTATTATTATTGTTATTATATGTACTTTAAAGACTTGATGATAAAAAAAATAAAGACCTGATGCTGAGAACACCTATGAATATTACAATGTAACTTCATGAATTCTCCATTGTACAGCGTATTTCTATAAATATGCATTAATCATAGATATAGAGAAATTTAGACCTTAGTCTTTTAAAAGACTAGGAGAAACAAAAGAACGAAAGCTGCTGCTGAAAACCAGAGACCCTGTTGCTCCGCCACACTGAAAACGTCACTGTGAAGCTGGTGACAGCAAAGCCCACCAGTGAGCTCCCAAGTGCAAGAGATTTGTGATACTTCACAACTTACTAAAAACTCATCTCTCAGGCATGTCATTCACACATAAGAATGCTACTACTTAAGTTTCAAATTAGAAATTCTAGATGTTTATTTTTGTTTTAAAATATTTTATTATGCTGGCATGATTAAAAGACCCAAATATCGTTTGCAGCTTCGAACAATGAAGTTTCTTTGTCTGTGCTCCACAAGGTATGTGGTTTATTAAGCAATATTTGGCTTTAGAAGCCTACAGGTTTATTTCTTTGTTCCCAAAAGATTTGAAATTTCTTTTAAAAACTGAGGCTTGAGAATAATACAATCACCAAGTATCCCTCAATATTCCTTTTCTGAACTCTCTGTAGTGTAGCACCAACACTAACATCATTAGAAACTTACCAAGAGTCACCAGATCTACGTCACTACTGGCAGCATAGTTGTCACTCACTACATTAAACTCCACATATTCATTCTGCAAAACAGTTAAATATTTAGAAAATGAATAGTGTTTTTATTTTATAATGTCAATCATAAAAATACAATGATGGAGGGCTAGCCAGACAGCTCAGCAGACTAAAGCGCCTGCTTAGGCAGAGCACAGCGGTCAGGGTTTGATCCCCGCCATGCTGTCCTGGTCCCGGCCTCTGGGGCATGCTGAGATGCCCAAAGAGACTGGGCGTGGTGGTGCACACCTGTGATCCCAGCATTTGGGAGGCTGAACACAGGAGAATCACTATGAGCTGGATCTATGTAGTGAGACCCTGTAGACCCTGTACCAAACACACACACACACACACACACACACACACACACACACACACACACAGAGGATGGTATAAGAAATAGTTATGTAACTTACTTATAAAGCAATACATAAGAATTCTTACATACAAGAAATAAATCTTTTAATAATACAAGCAGATAATAAGCTTTTTGAGCCTATCAACTTTACTCTAGGAAGAAAAAGACAGACCAGAAATTGAATTTTACGTAATAGGTAATAGAAACAAATTGCTCAGATTCAATAAAGCAACATAAATTTAGCAACTATTTCTGTGAAATTCGTATCCTGATTGTAATAAAAAAACCCTGTACTTTCAAATTTTCCTCTTCTACTTTTCCCGCAAATTAGAAAAACCATTCATGCTATTACAAGATATAAAATAACCTGAAAGTTTACATAAACAGAGCACATATATTCTTGCCTCATTTTAAGCACTTCAAGTACTATCATCAAGTAAAAGCTCAGACTGTCTTATTTGATGAAGAGAAAAACAACAGCCACAATAAGAATAAGAAAACAGGGCTGGTGAGATGGCTGTGGTCTAAAGCACCTACTTAGAACAAGCTTAGCAAAGCACAGGGACCACGGTTCAATCCCCCAGCACCACATGCCAGCCAGCCCCGCCCCCTGGTGGGCTGAGCTGGCCACACACACACACACACACACACACACACAAAAAAAAATAAAAAAAAAAAAAAAAAGAAAGAAAAGAAAACGATTATGTATATAGGACTTCAAACAATTTCCCTCTTCCTGTGAGCAACCTGAGCTGACCTGTGAAAATGGTTCATTACTCTCTGAACCTAGAAAACCCCACAAAATCATGCAAATTGAGAGGCTTAAATCTTCACGTTCACTTTAAGAACACGTGTGAAACTGCCCACACCCTCAAGATTATGCACATCCAAAGGCCACCAAGGTATCTGAAGGATGTCACATTAAAGAAGCAGTGTGTGCCATTCCTACATTACAATGGTGGAGCTGGTAGGTGTGCCCAGGCCAAACAGTGGGGCTGGATGCAGGGTTGGTAGCTCTAAAAGAGTGTTGCATTTTTGCTGCACATGCTTAAAAATGCAGAGTAATGCTGAACTTAAGGATTTAGATGTAAATTCTCTGGTTACTGAACATACCCAGGTGAACAAAGCACCCAAGATGTGCCGCCCTACTTATAGAGCTCATGGCTGGATCAATCCATACATGAGCTCCCCCTGCCACATTGAGATAATCCTTACTGAAAAGGAACAAATGATTCCTAAACCAGAGGAGGAAGGTGCATAGAAGAAAAAGATTTCTCAGAAGAAACAAGAAACAAAAACTTTTGGCACGGGAATAAATTAAGCATAAAATAAAAGTAAAAAAAAAAAAAAAAAAAAACCTCCTACTACCTGTGGGAAATGTTTGTTATATTTAGCTTCTCCAAAAGAATACATACATAATAAAAAGAATACTGTATCTAAGATATTCTATATATATCAAGGAAAGAAAATACCTTTTTAGACAAAAGCATTTCAGTTTCCAGAAGAGTGATCCGACTTAGAAGATTGGTCCAGGTCTTTTCATCTACTATCACTTTCCCTTTCATTGTCTCTTCCAAAGAGTCTAGCCTTTTCTCTATCCAAGTCAACTTACTAAGTTTTTCTTGACATTCGGCAAGCATAGTTCGCAGTGCAGTAATCTCAGGATTACTCTTTATATCCTACAGTAATTCAAAAGATTAGAGACAATAATATAGGAACTGAAGTTCCTCCAAAATCAATCAGTTTCTACTCTGGTATTCCTACAGTGAGAAGAGGCAGTACAGCCTGAGAATCAAGACAGCTACTACTAAGGGCAGGCTATGCGACACGAAAACTAGTTTGCCCATCATTTATAATTTGATGCCCCCATTTTCTCACTCAAAAAAAAAAAAAAAAAAGAAAGAAAGAAAAAAACAATAATAGTATCTACTTAAGATGTTTTTGAGTTAAACATAAGATGAATAGATGTCACAGAACGTAGATAAAGATGCTTTGGAAGAAACAACAGAGATTAGACACAGAGTGGGGTTTGTGACAATAAAGAGTAACAAATATGGTATTCTAGGAGACAGCAAAGGATAGCAGGAACTAAGAAAGGAAAATGACAGGGCAATGAAGGACCAAGATTTTCCATTTACTAATGAAGGAAATAAGTGGGGGAAAACCCTCACTACACAAAGTGGCAGGCAGCTGGCTCACTAGATTGTAAAGTCCTTGAAGCCACGTCCCAGGTCTCACCTTTCTTTGCAATACTCAACACATAGCCAAAATGCTAACCAGAAGAATCAAATCAAATAACATGTGTTAAATTAGAGCCAGTAAAACTTGTGAATTCTTAAGTAATAACACAGGTAATATGGCATGATTAATAATTTCAACAGAAATATTCCAGATTTTCAACGCTAAGTTAATCATAGACATCAAAGAAAAAAACACTGGCATCTTTTTAAAAAAGTCTAACATTCTTACTTCCTCCTCAGCTTTGGTTGTAGGGACCTGTAGTTCAGCAACCTTTATTTCAGAAGCCTGTAAGTCGGACACATCACATACTCCAGTGTCTTCTGTGACTGAGCTTTCAGTCTCTTCGTCAGCAAGGTTACCATCACTTTCATTATACAGGTGGCGGATCACCAGCGCTTTCTTCTGCAGAGACAAGTATGTAAGAAATGCTTTACTGGTTTTATTCCCATATTGTTTTAAATACACATACAATGATTAAAACAAAAAAAAGAGAGAGAATACCTAGCCTTCCTTTAAAGATTTCAACAAGTCTAAACTACCACAATTTACGTATATATCAGAGTGGTATGAAGTATTACTAGAGTACATGTGATGAAGAAATTATACTTTGGATTTTTAAAAACATTTTTGTATTCTGAAGTAATTAAAGATATCTGTGTTTTCCAAATAGTTCGGGAAAGTGGTCAAAATGAAAATGAAACAAGATTAGCAGTTTATAAATTGTTGAAACTAGATGATATAAATGTTTTAAATGTTCCACAATAAAAAGTTTTCACATCATGTACAAATAACCAAGAACCAGACATGTAAGATTCATCATGACTTCTTCCTATTAAGTCATAATGTATTAGATCTTCAACAAACCGTTCAGATTTCATAATGACAAAGGGAAGTCCTGATAAAAAGAACTAGGTCACACTATATATTTAAACAACAGGGCTCTTCTGCCTTCTTTTTTTTTTCTAAGAGTAACGTGAATATCTATTATAGAACTTAGTACATATGCCAAAACAGTTACGAACAACATTTAGTCTAAGGCTTTGGGAAGGAGACAATTTGCTGTAGTAAAACTGACTCAATTTTTATATAAAAACAGACATCTATTTGTGGACTATATCTTCTATAAATCTGAGGACTTTTAATATTTATTCAAATTTCTGATAATTAAAAATATTATGTAAATCCTTTAATTTTAATGGGAAGCAAAGAAAACTTGAAGATTGAAAACAGGTGTAATGTCTCGGAAGGCTGCGTTTTCTTTTTTAGAGCAGTTTCATTATTCTTCAGTCCCCATATTGAAATAAAAAATTGAAAAGAATATTGCTATATCAACCTGCATTTAATAATTTTCTACAGTGTACTTAGTACTGTGCTAAGCACAATGAAGATAAAACCAGTATAACTAAGAAAAATCCTTATTTATTTCTCCTTGAGGAGGATACACAATATGAATCATTTAACAGTTGGAAAATAAGATTATGTACAACTAATAAAAAGTTAGGCAACTTAGAGGTGCAAGCAGACGAGGAGTACAGGCAATCATGCAGACCTATGCCCCTTACAATTTCTTTTCTTAGTGACCTCATTACCTGGAGCAAAGCAATCACATTTTTAAACTTACTGGCACACGAACCTGGTCTTCGGGTCAGATTACACTTTAAAAAGGCCCAGGAGTGTGTTTATTGTTAAATCATTTAGAGTAGAGTCAGGCAGCAAGCATTCACTAGATTGTACTTCAGTTTTACATCCTTTAGCTAATTAGGCAGTGATTTTCATCTGGTATTCTACCCTTAAATCTCAAAGTTTTCTTCAAATGCAACTCAGCTGAAAGTACACGTACCATTAAAAAGCATTTTGACTTAAACCTCCCCTGGAGATGGAACACCTACATCTGTAAGTATATTGGATTAATTGTACCACACATGCACAGAGAATACAAAGGCAAAGAAGGTATCTATGAACAACAGGAAAATACTAAACATACTCCAAACTGCATTCCATATTTGCAAGTTATAAACCATTAGATAATTCATTCTCCTAGTTACAATTAAATCATTACTAAGGGTAGGTTTTTCATATGCTGTATTTTCATGTTTTAGGAAGTCCAGATACATAATTAAGAACAAATGCGGATCACTGTATACTGTAACTGTCTAAGTCATCAGTATTTTTTATTATTCTAGTATTTTACCAGAAAAATGAGGCAGAATTCAAACTACAATAAAAAGGTCAGTCAATTTTACATTTCTAGGCTTTCCTTGTAGCTTTAGGAATGTTTTCCAAAGACTAAATGGCACATGCTGATAAAAGTATTCCTGTAATGTGCCATCCTGGGCAGCTTTCTTACCAAGTGCCCAAAGAAGTGACTCTTACAGCTCAGATTTGTTAATCACATAACTCATAAATTACACAGCACACTTTCTTTGTAGTTTTTCTACCTTTCCTGAAGTCATACATCTGCCAGCAACATCAATGCCGACAGTTTCCACAGGTGTTTTCTCATTGCTTGATGAAGGTTCTGAGTGAGAAATGATTTTCTTTCTTAGTTGTAAAGAAGTCTAAAAATCAACAACAATGTGTTAAGACACAACAATTTTCTGTGAAAGCATAATAAAACTTAATTCCACTATCACCTAAATGCCCACTTCTGAAATATAACTGATAAATAATGAGACTCTAATGAAACTTTGTCTTTTAAAAAATCAGTGGCAAAAAAATGCATTACCTTTGAACTTACTACAAGCAGTTCCAAGTCACAGATGTGTAAAAACAACTGACTAGTATTTAAACATGAACTTTATAACTTTATTTTTTAAATACAACTTTGAATACTGAAGTAATTACATGAATAATTTACTTTTAGTGTACTAATTTCATATATCAAAATACTGGGCCATTTAGCATACACTAGCAGTAAAATCTACTCATAAAATTACCTTATCAACACCAGACAATTCCTTGTGCTTTTTCATCACACAATTCAAAACATCACAAGCAATTTCGATTTTCCATTCTGCAAACCCATGTTGCATAAACTGCTTTTTTGACAAAATTGGTTTATAATCAAATTGATCACGAAGAAGCTTCAAAGAGAAAGATCAATATAATGATTAGGAGCAGTTTCTTTCTATAATCTAAAGTGATAAATAGCCACCTGGTCAGGAAGAGCGATAGCTACCTTTGAGAAGGCAAGGTGGATCAAGCCATTAACTAAAGGTTACTAAAGAGGTTTATAGATCTGTGTGAGTCATGACCCAGTAGGAGAGGTATCCAGGTAGAAAACAGGTGGCTAGCCTGTGCCAGAGAGATGGCTGTCCAGAGATAGAAAAACACAGTCAATCATCAAAAAGTCAAATATTCTCAAAAGTACTAGAAAAATGTCTTAACTCATCAGAATACCAAACTAGATTCTAGAAACCTGTAGCTGTGTGTAGTTATTCTACTACTGTGTGACTCTTGGATAAGTCAGTAGGACTTTTGGGCTCAGTCTCTCATTTGGAAATGGACCAACAGTTTCCATAGTTCTACTATGCAGAACCCCAGAATTTCTTAGAAAGTCATATAATGTTCCATGAAACCTTTGGAATAAAAAAAAAAAAAAAAAAACCCGTACGATTAAACAGAAGATTAACAGAGCTATATATAAAAGGTCCTATTTCAAGAAATGCAATTCCACCTTCTGTTACAGATTAGTTGTGATAAATAGGATTTACTATAAAAACATTTAAGAAAACTACAGCATTTGAGCAAAAATTAACATCCAAATAGGTTGTTTTAAAGGGTCAAATAGATTAAAATTCAATACTCATATAAAAGAGGTAGATATAAGACCTGGTCTCAGATCTCAAAAAAATTATCACGAAGTTTGACTCCTTTTTTACAAATAATTAAATTAGCTCATAATTCCATGAACTACAACTTTAACTGAATACAGTTACATTTCTAACTTCTACCAGTGTACCAAATTTGACATAAAAAGGGCAAATGATAGCCACTGACAAATATATACCAGTTGTCACAACATAAGGGTAAAAACATTCACAGAGAAAACTTGAATTGCAACTTTAAAAAAAAAAAATCATTTATTTAGTACAGGGTCTTGCTATGCAGCTCAGATCACAGTGATCCTCCTGTCTCAGGCTCCCCAGGGCTGGGATTACAGGCGTGTGCTACCGTACCTGGTTTCAGCGGCTGGCACTGTACACCACAGTGGCACATGGTATAGGGGATCGAACCTGGGTCTCTGAGTTAGCCAGGCAGGTGCTTGGACCTCCAAGCTATTTCCCCAGTCCCTTGAATTGCTTCTTGATTTCAATATAGACTGTATTTTAATGATACAGACGCAATAATATGAAAACACTCTGGAGGGCCAGGGAGATATCTCAGTAGAGTAAGCACTTGCCTGGTAAGCGCAAGGGCCTGAGTTTAATTCCCAGTTCCACCAAAAAAAAGAAAAAAAGGAAAAATAGAAAAAGAAAACACTCTGTCAACAATACTTGTTGCACACAGAGTGATGTACCACATTAACATTTTGGTCAGTGACAGACCATACAGATACACAACAGTAGTCCTATAAGATTACTATGGAACTGAAAATGTTCTACTGCCTAGTATTGTATTGTACTTTTCCTATGTTTAGATACACAATTGTGTTATTGCAATTACCTACACTATTCAGCACCACAACACATATTTGTAGCCTAAGAGCAGTAAGTATAGCATACCATATAGCCTTGGTGTGGAAGTAAACTACACTATATCACCTACTGACACACTCCGCAGAATATATGCCCACTGTGAAGTGACCTATAGCTGTATTTAAGGTATTATCAAGACGATATTTTCTAAAAAATCATTCAACAACGTCTAAAAATAAGTATTGCTTCATAAGTTCAAAATACCTTATAGACAGTATCTGTGAAGCGCAGGTCATTCTTCGCTATGAGCTCGACATTGCATTCCATGAGATGCTCTGTCACATAGGGAGAGTATGAGGTCAGAGAATAGCTGATGATGGGCAGCGTGGCTGCTGTGTCTCCCTTTATCAGACTGTTAGGGAAAAAAGTGGACTTCGAATGCACACAATTCTTAAAGTTATAAATCAAGGAAGTATTAAAAATTTCAACAACTTCACACTATGGCCACAATAGCTGAGTGATACATGACCCTCCAGATTCATCTCCAGCTCCACGTTACTCTAGGACTACCACATAGTACTATTACCCACCTGTTGGCATGCTCACAAACCTACTGTAGTACTGCTCTGTAGTACCAACAGCCCATTTACTATACTTACTGCCTAGCTGTTCACAAGAATACCACGGCTTTACTAACAATTATGCTATCTATCTAAATAGATCTTATAAATAGCTTGTTAGGAAACAATCTAAAAAAAGTGCTCTTGGGTCAGTAACAAAAATGTTCAGACACTACACAGAAAAGAGGAAAATGCTGGTTTATTCATCTAAAATGTATTTTAAAATGCTGATGTATAAAGTGATGACAGGAAAATTTGTCTATTTGACCTGGTCAAGTCCTCACAATTCTGGATCGTCAAGATTTTCCTGGTTTGAAGTACCAAGATAGTTGGTACAAGCAGGGTCCCGGTAGTGCAGGCCTATTATCCCAGCACTCTGGGAGGCTGAAGCAAGGGGATCACAAAGTTGGGCCCTGCCTGGCAATGTAATGAGACCCTGTTTCAAAAAGTAAAAACGGGCTGGGGATGTGGCTCTGTACAATGATCCTAGGTTCAATCGCCAGAACTATAAACACACGGATACACTCACACACACGATAAAACCAAAATGATGACTGGCACATACTATGATTATATTTGTTTCTTACATATAATATCGTAAAAACAGTAACTTGACTCTTAATTCTCCTCATTACCCTTTCCTCCATAGCCTTCTCTGGGGCTAGTTCTCCCAGTGTATAATTATAAGGTTTACTGTTTTACATAAAGTCCATTATTCAAGGTCTCTCCAGAGTAGCTGCAATGACCAAGTTTTCCTCCATACTCAAGTAGATGCCTACCCTGGATTCTCTCCATACTCGTCCATTCATTCTGTCTCTTATGAGGCTCAGTTCCTGATGTGGAGACCCAACAATGAACAAGAGAAGTCCTAGACCTCAGCTAATGGCAGACTATTACTAAATCAATCATTCATGACAGTTAAGAGTATGTGCTATAAATAACTAGGGATATTAAAAAAATAAAGAAACGCATAAAGCCAGGGACAGTGATACCTGCTTACAATCCCAGTATTTGGGAGGCTGAAGCAGGAGGATTAGGAGTTTAAGACCAGCCAGGGGTACACAGTGAATCTGAGGACTGGTTAGGTACCTGCAGGACTATGTCTAAAAAATAAAAAAAAAAAAAAAACCTCTGAAATAAACTGTGCTATATTATATAAACATAAAGGAAAAGCACATGTTGCTATACTCTATAAAAAATTAATCAGGAATTTTGGTACAGGTTGCCATAGGAAATCTTACTAACCAGAATTGTCTCTATCAAAAAGAACATAGTTTGAAAGCATAAAATCTATGCTCCATAAATGAATAAAGACTGAAAAGAAATGGTAGCAATCTCTGATTATAGATTTATTTAATAAGAAATAGCATCCAGTGAATATAACAGTAAGCTATATAAGTAATAAAATCAATTACACATCCATAGATTTAAAATTATAGAGGTAATACATTACACTGACATATATTGTGCTTATAAACATATCTTAAACGTCATGGCTTGGAATTTTTCATAAATTCATACCTATAAATAACTTTCTGAATTGTTTTCCAAAACATTTTAACCATTTCAGAGTAAATTTTAATAAGACAGAGACAAAAAAATCATTTTCTTTAAGTGTTCCTCTCATGTCATACAGTATCCCAAATTTTTAGCAAAATGAAAACAACTAAGTTGGCTATTATAGCTTACCCAACATAATCCACCTCTTTAGGATAATTTAACAGGCGAAGTACTTGCTCTAGTTTCCGTAAGCTTCTTTTTAAGTCACCTGTTGCCATCATTTCACATTAGACTCAGCTCCAACTCTTAAAATAATTTTTCACCTAAAAATAAAAATCCATGAATCACTGGTTAAATCTGTGTATGCTTTGAAGCTTCTCTATTCTATTTTATACATACTGCAGGTGGCCACTTACCATATTTTATCTAATCCTAGTTATATTTCTAACTTATTCTTTTCCCTACTGGTCAAGTACTCATTGCTTATAATCTATGTATTAGAAATTCCTGAATATAAAATAAGCTTCTGCTGTACCCATCAACATTTTTCTTTACAAAAGGTAAGTTTGCCTTAGGTTTATGTTATAATTCAAGACCTTTTTCAACACATTTAAATTAGAAAAATAAAGTGTTATTTGGAAAGACATCTAAAGTTGAAATAACCTTGATTAATGGCTATTTTGGATGCCTATGGAAGCTACATAATACTATCAGTAAAAATTAGAAACAAAGAAATTCAGCACAAAAAATAGTCATTATTCCCAGGGCTCTGACTTTAAATAGATGCCAACCAGATAACTTTTATAGAGTAAAAATGAATGAGTTTTTAAAAAAGTTTTAAGCTTCACCAATAATTCATCCAGCTAAGCTACTATTACCGCACTTCCTTGGTAAGAGTTTTACAGTCTGAGGAAATAGAACAGAAGAGGTATCGAGTTTGAAAACAGCAGACAAGGCAAATATGGAACAAGGAAATAAAAATATAGTTTCTTCTTATACCTCTGTTGTACAAAACTGCTCGATTATATCCTCTATGGCAGCAGATTGTCCAGTTCTGCTCTAGGCAACACAGATAAGCCTAGGGGATTGAAGGGAAGCGGACACTGAGGAAGACGCCAAAGAAAAGGTCGGTGTCTGATCTAACATGCTCACAGGAAGGCGCAAGCCAGGCACCAACCACTGCCACACACCTCTGTCTGGGGAGCCAGGCTCAACTGAACACTCGCACAAAGATGGGCACTATGAGGGGCCAGGGAGATGGCTCAGTGGAATAAGCGCTTCCCTGGCAAGCACAAGGGTCTGAGTTCAATCCCCGGTTCCACCAAAAAAAAAAAAAAAAAAGGATGGGCACTATGAAAATAAAGTTTTCAGGATGTGAGGAGAGATCACTAGAGAAGAGACAGTTGGTGAGTACAGAGTCAGTGTATGAAAGAAAAGAAAATTTCAAAGTGAAAATCACCCAGACTGCTCCAGGAATGTTGTGGGTCATGTCCTGATAAACCCATTGCATGAAATGCTGTATTTGGGGGGAGGGGCTGGAAAGCGACAAGCTGATTCTAAAAGGCTTGTAAAAGCTAACGGTTAACTATCAAAATCTTGAAAATCAAGTTGGAGACTTAAATTTTATATTGTGTATGAAGACTTTTTTATAAAATTAAATTTGGAATTAGTGAAAAGATGTACAGAGCAGTGAAAGAAACAAAGTCCAGAAACAATCAGTGCACATGGGACCGGAGATCAGGGCTTGGCCAAGCTGGCTGGGGCGTCAGGTGTGACCTGGCAATTACAAAAGCCCAGGACACGTGCACAGAATGGTTCTCAAAGCCCCAGATGTGTGCTGCTCTTGTGAACTTGAACAGGTTTTCCATAGGATGACCTAAGCATGACCAGCCCAGGGACTAGGTAACACAAAAAGGACAGTTCCCATTGAGTGCTACCGTGTTCGCCTGCACAGTAACCACCCTCACAGTGGAGGGTATATTCACTTGGCGCAGACTTGCTCCGCAGAGCCCTCTTCCTACCTTTAATAAAGCTTTGCTACCATTTGTGCTTGTCTTGACTAATTCTTAGCTCAGGACAGAAAGAGCCTAGAGCCCATCTCTATTAGGAGACTGCCACACCGCTAAATCTCGAACACACAGACTGACAACAGGTGTACGTCAAAGATGACACTAAGTAGCAGTAAAAAAGGGACAGTCTTTCCCAATAAATGGTGAGTTGCTGAGAACACTTTTAAATATGGACTTTTCAGTCACTATTTCTCAGCTAATTAATTACCATTTACATTTTTAGGCAGAAGGACTTTCAGGTATGATTGAATTGGAGATAGCTGAGGTGGGGAGGAAGTAATCCTGAAATCAAATTACACAAAGCACTGGCTGAGAAGATCAGCCTTATTTAATATCATTTAGAATGTCTGCAGTTAGTTGGGGACATGGAAGCAGGAAAAGATTTTCTAGACTAGTAGTGGCAGACACCTGGAATTCCAGTACTCTGGAAGGTTGAAGCAGGAGGATCACAAATTTGAGCCTAGCCTGAGTGACTTAGTGAGACCTTGACTCAAAAAAAAAAAAAAAAAGAAAGAAAGAAAGAAAAAAGAAAAGAAAAGAAAAATGTTTGGAGACATTTTTCAGTGAGAAGGCCTTGGGTTCAAACCTCAGTAGTGAAAAGAAAACTAATATTTCCTTACTAGCTTTTACTTTCCTGGGAAAGATGAAGTAGGAACTAATTTAGTTGTAACTGAAAAAACAAAACAAAAACCCTACACGGGTTTCACCACTGGGTAATGTTTGTAGGTTGGAGCTTGCTTTAGGTCCCTTGCCCACCTAATCTAACACAATCCTCCCCACAAGACATCCATTACCTCTAAGTGTATCTCTTCCCACAGGCTTCCCAAGGGCACATGGGGTCTTTCCAGTAAACGTAACTGTTCGTCTAACACTGCAACAACTTTCCATCTTCCCTTTTTCCAATGTCCTGGAACACATTATTTCTACCACTGGAAATGACATTTTGGAACACAAAGTATTTCTCTGGATCACATCATTTTCAGTAACAGCAGAATAATTTTAAGAAAAGTAAGATACCAAGATAGTTTAGTTCTGTAGGCGAAAAAGGTACTAGGAGACTAGCACAACTGAAAGGGTGAGCAAACGTGAGCACTACAGAAGAAGACTTATAGCTACTGCTGGTCATTTTCAAGACAGACCTTAGTGAAAAAAATATTGGAAAACTAACATTAAGATATTAAAAGTAGCCAATCTACACTTGTGCACATTCAACAGTAAGTCTAGATGAACAATAACTTGTTATTTTGAGCCAACTAATGACATTTTTACTTTATTATGCTTATCAAAGGAAATTAAAAGAAAATGGCACTATTCTGCTTACACTACATCCCACCGATTAATACTGCTACCAAGCTTTCTCCAGAATTCTGTCTACATCAGATCGCTCAAGTGAATTTATGGAAGACACTGTGAAAAGGTATACCGCAGCAGATTCAGATTCTAACCCACTTTAATCTCATGACAGCTGCAACTCTTGTTGCATAGGTCTTGCTTTACCTTGGTCTTAACCATCCAGCAGAAAAGTACAAAAATGAAATAGAAGAAGTAAAGTCATGGTGTTATGTTGAGCTGTAGGGGACTCAGGTCAACAATTTCTGACACTGCCAGTCAAATGGAAGGCTCAATACTGTTATGGACTACTGGACTCTTTTAGAATATTTTGCTGAGTTAACACACCTATAATATTCAAATAATGAAACTTAACCAAAAAAAAGGGGATACAGATGAATGTCCATTTTGTATCTGTGTATTCAAAGTGGTTAGGATAGATATACAGTTACAGTCTCATAATGAATAGAGGGATTTGTTGTAATAGTGTTTGTAAATAGGATATCATGTCTGTATCTTTTATAGCAAATAACCACTAGGAAGAGAGTATGCAATGTGTTAATTATTGAAACTGTCCTACCAATTTGATTTGAAACTGTCTCACTGCTATTTGTTTCTCAATAAAATTATGGGGAAAAAATCTCATGACAGAAGTCATATTTAAAATGATGACTGTCAATGGGATGTCACTGGATTCTGCGATTTCTGTCCAGCATAAAGCAACTACATTGACTGTAATTGTCATGGATGGCCAAGAGTTTGGCTGTTAACCCTCTATCTCACCAAAAAAAAAAAAAAAAAACTGTCAGAAACAGGGGAACCAAGATGAGTAAAAGTTAAATGTGAAATTTTTTT